TTTTTTTGCATCGCGTTTAGCAAGCGGTCAACCTGTGTTAAGCAGCCACCCCGCCAATCCCCATGGGTAACCCGTTAATACAGGGTTCGATTGCCAATGATATCCATTTGACGAGAATCAGTTTCGCATTTGATCCAGGCGGATTAATGTAACAAAGAGAAATGACTAAATACTCCTTAACATGGTTAAAGCTTTCATTATAATTTTTTTGCAATGCTTTTGAGGATGGAGTTGACGACTGTATGATAAACAGATTAAGCTTAGAAAAAGTTGTTAGCCAGAGCTGTCAAGTGCAAAACCAACCTTTCAAATTCTGATCCGCAATGACGGCTGAAACTCTGCGCCTAGGCCCAGTTCCTACTTCCACAACCGTGTTTGTCAACATGTAGAGCCTTCAAGCCTCTATTAAACAGATTTAAATGAGGAAAAGTTGTCAGCAAGAGCTGTTGGGTGAAAAATCAACCTTTCTAAATGTTATCCGTAATGACAGCTAAGAGGCACGGTGGACATTGAATTACAACTTCCCATGCCATACTATTAAATAAGAAAAACTTTCTTAAAGAAAGTTACAAAGACTGGAAACTCATGCATTACTTTAATTTCTGTACATTTAGTAACAAAGATGAACGGATGAGAGATTGAGTCTTATAGAGGTTCAAATATATCTCAAAGATGGTTCAAATATTTCTTTAGCTTGATTTTCTTGTCAGAAGGACCTTCGGTTGCCTATCATATTCTGTGACAGTTCTTCGAGTTTAGGTGGTTGTGTTCTGATAAGCAGTTAGAAGGTTCTTGCGTCATCTTTACGTGATTGAATATACGTTGTTTTGAAACATCACAGTTTACAATGATCACTGTTAAAATAGGATTGGTGTGATAAAAATTTTGTGAGCTTGATTTGAAACAACTTCCAAGCCAAGAAACTAATTAAGAATCAGACGTCTGAGAACCAAAGGTGTTTTCCTTTTCGTTTAAGCATGGTTCTCCGCGGCTAACAACGCTGAGAAGTCACTAGTTGTCCCGCCTTACGCGTTTTAGCGGCGCTATCGGACCGCTTAAGACCAGGGTTTAAGGAAATTGAAAGATTAATGTGCCATCGAACATGAATGTTCTCTCAGTCAGTAAAACGAAAACATTCCTTTGATTCAATTGCAAATTTTCCGTCAAATTCTGACATGAACTACTTAGACTTTAATTCTACATACTGCTCCTGAGTTGTCAATAAGGAGATGGTATCTATTTTTTATCATCGATTTCTTTCGATTCAAAAGACAGGAATTAGATCATGCTGATCAAACCTCGCAAGTAACCGTTAGGCACGAAGTTGTGCCGATCGATTTTGATCAAATGTGCAGCAGAGGTTCCTAGCGTACGCGCGCGGCAACAAAAGAACATCAGTGTTAGCTATGAGTGAACAGTGTGGGTGACGAGAAGAAAGACCGAGGTGCTGCTATTTTTTTTTAACAGGTTGACGTCTTGTGCTCTCATCAAACTATCAAATGTTTGGTTAAAAAGCAGTTTCATATTTTCTGGTCTGAGTTGTGTCTGTAGTATAAATCTTTGTTTACTTTTAAAAAAATTCATATGCTGATTGAAAAGGAAATTGCTATTTGCAAACCTGTCTAAAGTGAATTTAGCTAAAAGCTGTAGCTACGTCATAATCGATAATGATTAAAATCAATATCAAATTCGTCACCTATGATTGACAGGTTTAAAATTCGAAGTCATTCGTTACGTTGACTATCAACACAACAGTGGAGAGGAAGACGGCGGGAAAGTCTTTGAGAAAACGGCTTCGCACTACAGTATCTGTTGTCTACTTATCTCT